GCCTCGACCCCACAACATCTAGACTATACATCACTCAACATGCAAAGTTTGATGAACATCACTTTCCTTCTTTAGGAACCTCTCATGCTCAACCTATCTCATCTCTCCAATTTTTCAATTTTTTGGAGCCCATATCATCCCATGCAAAACCATCTCCCTCAAAGCATCATTCTTCTTCTATTACTACATCCAGATCAGACCCGTGTATTATTTTTACTGATCTAGTGGATGAGTCTATGCAGGTTACTGACTCTAATGCTGGTTCTACTTTGGTACACTCAGCCCTTAGATCATCTTCTGTTGAGTCTAACACCACTCCTTAAGTTCACGATCTCACTCTAGCTCCAGCTCTAGCTCCAGCATCTCCATTAGGCTCTTACCCTATGATCACACGAGCCAAGGTAAGTGTTTTCAAAACTCGCCATCCGACAAACATTGGCATCTTGGGCTTCTCTGGTCTTCTTTGTGCTCTTCTTGCCTCTACTGAGCCTAAAAGTTTCAAATTTGCTGTAAAGAATCCTGCTTAGCTTGCTGCCATGGATGAAAAAATGCAAGCCATACAAAATAACAGCACCTGGATTTTGGTTCCTAGGCCTCCTAACACCAACATTGTGGGCTCCAAATGGGTGTTCAGAACCAAATATTTGTCTGATGGATCCATCGAGCAGTTCAAAGCTCGTCTTGTTACCAAAGGCTATCCACATGTGCCTGGTCTTGACTACAATGATACCTTTAGTCCTGTTATTAAGGCTTCCACTGTTCGCGTTGTACTCTCTATTACTGAGACTAACAAATGGCCTCTTCACCAACTTGATGTTAAGAATGCGTTTCTAAATGGCACTCTTACTGAGCATGAGTACATGGAGCAGCCTCTAGGATATATTGACCATCGCTTTCCTAATCATGTCTATCAGTTGAAAAAAGCTCTCTATGGACTAAAGCAAGCACCTTGTGTTTGGTTCCAGCGCTTCAGCTCCTTACTTATTCAGCTTTGATTTCATTGTAGTCGGGCTGACCCTTCACTATTTGTTTTCCACAAGCCCTCCAATATCATATATTTGCTCCTCTATGTTGACGATATTATTATCACTGGCAACAACTCATCTCTCATCGATAGATTTACTTGTAAACTCAATTCTGAGTTTGCTACTAAGAATATAGGTCCTCTTAGTTGCTTCATTGGCCTTGAAGCTTCGACAACTAAAGATAGTCTTTTTATCAATCAGTTGAAAAATGCATGGGATATTCTTACTCGAGCTCAGTTGCTTGACAGCAAACCAGTGCATATTCCTATGGTTGTTTCTCAGCACTTGTCTGTAGAAGGTCCTCTGTTCTCCAATCCTACTCTTTATAGAACTCTAATTGGCGCCCTACAATACTTGACTATTACACATCCAGATACTGCTCTTGTTGTCAATTCTTTCAGTCAATTTCTACATGCTCCAACAACAAATCACTTTCTTGCAGTTAAGGATATCCTTAGCTATATCAAGGGTACCCTTCATTTTGGCCTCATTTTTCGCCCCCACTATTATTCCTGGTGCTCTCATTGCTTACTCTAATACTGATTAGGCTGGATGTCCTAATACTCATCGATCTACCTCTGGTTACTCCATCTATCTTGGAGGGAATTTGGTCTCTTGGAGTGCTAATAAGCAATCCACAGCCTCTCATTCTAGCTGTGAATTTGAATATCATGCCATTGCTCACGTTGCCGCTGAGTTTCTTTGGATTACACACCTTTTTCAAGACTTACAAGTGTCACTTCCACAGTTGCCCTTCTTTTACATGACAATAAAAGTTCCTTATTTTTGAGCTCCAATCCTATTTCACAAACATGCCAAGCATGTTGAATTACACTACCACTTCCTTCGGGAACTTGTCGTCTATCAAATTTTACACTCGGTTCGTTCCATCTCACCTATAGGTTGCAGACATCTTCACCAAAAGTCTCCCTCAACCACTTTTTCAATTTTTTCTATCCAAGCTTCACGTCTACTCCAAGCTGACGCTCAGCTTGCGAGGGGATGTTGAGGATACTTTGGCCCAATCCAAGGCATAATTCCTATAACAGATTTGACTCCACTATTCCAGTCTAATTATATTTTAATCTAGCTCAATTATGGGATATTCTTACCATCGATTTCATTGTAATTAAGCTGTAAATATTCTTGATTGATTTGTAAGCACCTTGTACATCTATATGAATAGACATACTCGCAATCACTAAGAGCAGTGTGGTGATTTATTCTTCCAAGATTTTCACTTTTGAAATAATAGATGATTAATAATTTTTTTATTATTTTGTGTAGTTCACACTATTAATGTGTATTAAGATCATAACTTCACATAATTATAATAGCCTTCATTAAGAATTCAATTCTTTCTACTAAAAAGTTAATTTTTAAAGTTAAAGTTAACTTTAACAATGCATTATTTAGGACCTTCAAGAACTAATCACTTATCCATCACTCATTTCCAAAAATCGAATTATAAATCATACATTTTTTTTTTAATTTTAGTTGTCTTTGTCAACGGAACCAAGGCTACAAGCTTTTCACGCATGAGTTAGGTGGAGGATTTTGGGGGAGTTCCTTAATCCCCCATGAATTAGAACATGCTAGAACTCTCTGGGTAAGGGGCATGGACGGGTTCTTCGTGGATAACAGTATTTTAGTTTGGATCAACGAAAGAAGATTGATTGAAGATGCCGTGTTATTGATATTCATTTAGATAAAACGTACTTTCCTTAATGAGTGCTATACTATAGTGCTTGGCCTAATTAACCGTTACAAACTTTTGGATATCCAATGTAACACCCCGAACTTTTTTACTATTTTTCATGTGGGCCTAAATTTAATATGGGTCACTTAGCAAATGAAATAATTCATGTTTAGATTTTTCGTTACACTAAAAGTCCAAAGGTTAAAAGATAAGCTCAACTCACTTATTTGTATCAAAGATTTACCTTGCTTACGAGTTTTAAGAATTTATCGTATGTTATTTGGGTCAAGTATTTAAGTATTTCAGAAGTTGATGAAATATATCAAACATTATACTCATTTTGTAGCTCATATTAAATAATATAATTTGGGCTCAAGAAAAAAGAAATTTTGAGTTAGTCCTATTCGAGTTATTCTAATAAAAAGAAATGTGTTAACCTTTAATATTTTTATTAATATAAATAATAATGAAAAAAACAAAGAAAAAAGAGACGAACTTTAACGTAGGAATTTGAAAAGATATCTAACATAATTACCAAAATAATTAACCTAATTAATTCATAAGTAACCTTATTGATTTTGAATATGTCACCAAGCTTTTGAATTCCTTGAAGGTTACGTGCGAATGATTATATATAGGGTGTGAGGTGAGAGTGTTTTGTGTTATAGATTTTATAAGTTCATTTTTATTTTAACATACACACACTATTCACTTTCACATTATCATTTCAAGCCATTTTTTTAAAAAATTTTGGGTGTCAATTGAGGTAAGAATACATCATGCAAAGTGGTCAATTATTATTTCTTGATGTTTGTATAATTTTTGGCATAAATTGCTATGAGGCCTTCCGGTCGAACTCTATGTTAAATCCTTCAGGATGGATCATTTGATCAAAGATGTTAAATCCTACCGGATATGGGGATTCTTAAGAACTTTCTTGAGCTCTAAATTTAAGAATTGTTAATATGTTATGTCAGTTTTATATTTATATCATGTAAATATGAATGTGTACGTATTCTTACTGGGTGTTTTCAAATTACTCACTCTTACTAAAATTTTAGATTAGAACCGATCGTGTCGATGCGTGAAAGATTGATCGAGTGATGCTTATGGGGTTGCCAAGTAAATTTTCTAGAAAATATAACTGTCAAACTTTTATTTGAAGAATCATCTTCATATTGAATTTTGTGCACATTGTCTAATAGCTATTTATGCAATTTCAACACCTAATGAAAATGATATTTCGGCTTAAATTAGAAAAAGAAGATGTTAGTAATACCTTGAGCTATTTTTATTTAAAAACACTAATAATAATGAAAAAGATTTCGGGGCGTTACATCCAAGTGTCCAAATAGCCAAAACAAGTCACTGGTTCAATCAGTTTTGGTTAATGATTCGGTTTAATTGCTGGGATTTTCTTGTTTTACAATTTAGTTAATTTTGACGCACTACTGGGGCTAGTTTTATAGCCTATTTTCAATTTTCTTAGTCGAAATAATCTATGTCAAGTCCTGCCTTATCAACACAGGGTCTCGTTGTTCCTATGTTAGTTTTCATCTTTGCTCAATCTGAACTCACCATGACAAATCAACTCCTCAAAAAACTTTTACTTTTTTCCATAAAACTCGTCAAAATTTGGTTGAATGCACTACTAATTTACAAAGAAAATTGTGCAAAATGTTTGAAGACAAATTCGTACTCGTGACAATTTACTTCCAAAACGTACAATTTTTTTTTTTCATTATTTACGTATTCAAGTGCATGGGTAGCTATAAGTTTCATTTATTTTACTACTTCACTAAAAATCTTTATGAAGAAAAAAATTTCTGGCACAATTTGATTTGAGGGTATCAACTTTTATAGTTTCTTGCTCATTGTGAACGCTCAATTTAGTGCTATTTAATTTGTGTCTAAGGCCAACAAAAATATAAATACAAATAATTTGGCACACCTAAAATCTTTCGTGACACAATCAAACTCGACTCCAAATTGAGCATGTCAAAGTCGACTCTGAATTGAGCATCGGAGTCAAGTTGGATATGACTTGTTAATTTGGGACTAAGCAATGGATGAACTTATACACCTAGAATTTATGGTATTAACGTGCTCCAATAAACTGTTCACTTTAAAAATATTATATTTTACATTACTAAAATGTGCATTTTGAATAAATTTGATTACAAAATCAAAGATCTGCGATCAAGTAGTTTATTTTTGTTGTGCGATGAAAATAATCATTAGGTTTGAAGAAATGCATAAGACTGAAACTTTAATAATTACACCATGAATTCTTCCACGGCTGCTTGTGCTATCCCACCACCGTATCCTGCACCAAATCCAAATCCTCCACCCAATCCACCTCCACCACTGCCACTGCCTCCGCCACCAAAATCTCCTTCTCCTCCTTGAGCACCACCTCCAAATCCTTCTCCAAAACCAGAACCACCCCCTGTTCCTCCACCTCCACCCTCACCCCCACCGCCACCTCCTAAATGATCAAAAATGAATTTTGCATCATCGAAAGAACCGTTTGAGCCAACTAGCTTTCTCGCTGTGGTGGTGCAAATAAGAACACCGAGAAGAACCAAGAGAACAGATTTGGAAGTCATCTCAATATGCAAGGAAAAGATAGCCTTGATGGTGAGAATTTAGGACACGAAGACGTGATTATATAATGCTTGAATATCATTTATTTGCATTAAAGTTCATGCTTGAATTAATGTGTGAGTTAGTGGGGGTCTCATTGTTGGAAATAAATAATTAGTTGCAGTAGTGATCAGAACAATATAATGTAGAAATATAAAACTTATCGTCTGATCGAGTCTCGTGACAGCACGATGTCCTAAAGTGAAATTGCCCGTCGATAATTGCTACGACCTCTGTGGACAATCACTCCCAGGATACAACGATCGTAAACCACTTGTGCAGCAATCAGGAATGATTTTTCTAGAACTCTCAATTGTACTCCAGAATATATGTAAAAACCCGAATATAAGAAATTCAAAATATGAGAAGGAGGATTGATGCAAGATGGTTTTTCTATTTTCTTTTTGTGTGTATTTTTCCCAAAATGGGATATGGGTTTATATAGGCAAGATGGAAGTAACAGTCTTTACCATGTTAATGCAGAATTTTAATGAATGAGTAGTGGGTGTTTTAATGGCTGTTAGTGGGTTGTTACAAAAACAAACAGTCAAAAAATACTGGCTAGTTTTACCCATTAAATAATAAAAAAAACATTTATTTTAGTCAAGGAAGAAGTCCAAGGCCCCAAGGCCTCAATCAAGATATTTTAATATCTGCGTGGGGAGTGACTCGAACCCTTGACGTCCCACACAGAAGCTACATTTTCCACCACTTTGGCACTTTATCTAATTTGATTATTTCTTTCACATTTTATATTTATACCATAAATAAATAACACTCATTAATTTGACGGTTATTAAGTAAGTACTAGTGATTTAATTTATTTTTTTATAGTTATTGATGTTTTTATCCCTTAGTGGTTTATACACGTTTTCAGATCTTTCCAGGCGTTTGGCTATTTATGAAGCTCGTTATAATTCATATTTTATAGTGCAACAATTCAGATTACACTGTCCCGTTAATTTCCATTCCAATTTTCATGTGTTATTTTTCTTAAGTTACCCAAACATTTATTTTCCTGTTTTCCTTCCATTATCGTTAATGCATCCCTATTTTATTTTCTTTTTCCAAATTATATATAAAGACAGATGATGGTAAGTGTTTTTTAACAACTTTAAGTAATCCCGACTCAAGTATCAGAGAGATGTTAAAGAAAATGCAAGAAATGACATTTTACTTGATGTGTATGGTTGGGAACGAGAATCAGCAAGTAAATATTTGTAACGTATTGCGACAGAAAATCTATCCCATTTTTAAATATTTGCATGGTATTTGTAGCTATTGCATGTGTAAAAAGTTCAACCACAATCAAAATAAACAATACAAATTGTAGCCCCCATAGGCATGGCGCGGTGATAAAGTAGGAGGGTTCTATACGGAGCATCAAGGTTCAAATCCCCGCAACAGCTGGAAGGCAACATTTATATTGGAAGGCAGATATCCTATGGAGGCAAAGTTATGGTGCGCTTTGTCGCCCTTCAAGAGGTCATGTCTGCACATCGTAAAGGGAGATCCATAGGGAAGATAAACGCATCCCGAATGTCCGGCCCAAGTGTGTATAAGCTGTAACTGCAACTGAATTTAGGTGGGTGGCAGACTAGGGGGAAGACCGCCACTCCTTAGAATTAATCGGATAACGCTTGGACGCCTGAGTCATAAAAAAAAATACAAATTGTAGAATAAAAGTAAATGCATACCCAGCCAACAACAAGAAACTCTTGAAAGGCAACTAATTCATGCAAACACGGGTGCACAAACAAAGGCAATTACTTATGCAAAATGAAAAATAGCAAAAAGCACACGCCTTAACTGATGAAAAATTTGTGCAGTGGCACCGAGTTCTTGGATCAAGCGTACCCTACACGTTACTTGGACAATTTGCTTGGTAATGGAACAAATAATTCATGATATGAAGACCCATTATAGATTATACATTTTCTAAATTTTCTAAGTCTTCTTCAACATAGCCGAGGCTATGAAGCTTGGCAGATAGAGGATTTTGGGAGAGTTCCAGAATCCCTGATGAATTGCGAATATGCACAACCTGACTGGGTAATGGGCAAGGATGGTTTCTTCGAGGATGACAACATTTTGGTTTGGATCAACAAGATAGGACGGATTGAAGATGCCCTCTTATTGAAATCCATATTTTAATCTAAGTCAAAGATGACAATTAATTTTAACCACATATTTCAGAGGATCCACGACTTTTCAACTACACATTTTTAGGGATGTCAAATGGGCCAAGCGACTCGTCGACTCATCAAAACACGGCTCGTGGGCGGCTCGGGCTCGTCAAATGACGAGCTCGAGCTTAGCAGGGGCTCAATCCCTTTTTGACGAGCCCACGAGCCATGGGCTTGTCAAATAATATTATTTTTTTTTAAAAGTCCAAAATGTGCAAATTTACCAAAAAAATTTTTTTTTTAAAATCACGAGCTCATGAGCCGCTGGTAAACTCGGCTCGGCCCGCGAGATCGTGGCTCGTGAGCTCACAAGCTCGAGCCGAGCTCATGGGTTAAAGGGTCAAGCAGGCTCGGCTCGGCCCGTTGCCATCACTACACATTTTATCAACTTTTATCAAAATCTACTAAAAATCTGATTTAATCCCTACAAAACGGGGGAAAAAAACATTATTTTCTTTATAAGGGCCATACTATAGTCCTTGGCTTAATTAACCCTTACAAACTTTTGGATATTAAATCGTCCAAACTAGTCATCAATCAACCGATTTTGGCGGTTGAATCAATCTAATATATAGCTAGGATTTTCTCAAGTTTACAATTACTTCAGTTTCAAGCACTATTCAGACATATTTTAGCTGGTTTCCAGTTTTCCTTGTCGAAGCAACAAGTCCAAACCTATTTCGTCAACATAGGTTTTCATTTTCCCATGTGAGTTTTCAACTTTTCCTAATCCAAACTTACTAAGACAACTATTTTGTGGTGTATCTCATAAGCAACATCAAAAGCAATATTTTAGGATAGCCTTCTCCCAACATGTTCAAGCCTCCTATTCTTCTTCAGTAATTGGTATAATGTTTTATTCTCCTCTATCTCCAAATTATATTTTCAAACGTTCTTGATCAGATGGTAAAATTCTTGGGAAAAAATTTGAAGTATATTAATTTGAGTTATGGGATAAAACAATAAAAACCGTCGACCCACCCATGCCAACCAAAGCCGTCGGTTTTTGTTCACGTCAACCCCATCAACATTTTGGTTTTAAGCCCAACTATTTTAAACAGCTCTAAATAGTTCGATTTAGACTTCAATAGTAAAAAAAAACACATAATAAAATTGAATTAGTCACAGGGAAAAAAATTGTGCATAAGATTTGTGATTTATTAGTTCAATACTTCCACAACTTAATTTATAGTCGGTATCTGTTGGGTCTTTAGGGTGTATGATAAATTGCCGTAATGTTTCATTTTTCTTGGGTAGAGAGCGATTTGAAATTTTCAATTTATTATTTCTTTGTTTTAATATTATTATAATAACAATAAATTATAATTGTAACTTTATGTTAATAAATTTCCAATTTATGTGTTGCGTTTTATGTTTGGCTCATATTTTTTTTGGTTTTCACTTGTAAAAGTTACTTGTATTTTGGCTAAAAACGTTGACTGAAACCAAATGAAATCATAAATGTTGGGTTTGTGATATAAATTTGGTCTAAGATTACATGATTTGGAGTAACGATATTGGAATGATCAAAATTACGAATCGGGAAAAAAAGTTGCCGCATTTTCGCTGACCTATTAGTAGCTAGCCACTTGAGCAGTAGATAAACTTTTGGAGCAAGAAGCTTTCGCTCCCCTATCGTCAAAGCTCTCGCTCGAGCAACAGGACGGTCTCTCACCAAATGCTAGATGGCATCATGTGAGTTTTTTTCCTTTTGTCGGTTTCACGCATATTTTGACCTAGATTTCATCTTTTAGGTTACTTCTAGGGTTTTAACATTTCTCCTGTAAATATTAAACTCTTCATTCAGTTTAGGTATTGTTGAGATTGCTGTAACAATATTATTTTTCTCCACTAATTGTTAAAAAAATATGTTCCTCTGTCAATCTATTTCTTACTTCTAATCTAGGTCAAAATATGAGATTTTTGTTGTGGCAAGTGAAGATTGGAGCTGTATTGGTGCAAATGGATTTAGATGATATGTTATTGGGATTTGACAAGATGCCCACAACTTGGACAATAGATGAGAAACAACGGAACTATAGGAAGTCACTTTTACTGATTCGTCTTTACTTCTGTAACAATATTTTTCAGAACATTTTGAAGGAGAATGAAGTTGGAGCAATTGTGCATGACTATAAGTCTAACGAGTAAATTGCATCTGAAACAAATGTTGTATTCTCAGCGCAACATAGAAGGTGGATCTTGGAAGATCATCTAGCTGCGTACAAGGAGATCATCGCTGATTTGGAGACTTTAGAGGTAAAGTATGACAAAGAAGATTTGGCCCTGATCGTGTTGTGTTCGTTGCTTGCTTTGTTTAGGGACATGATTTTGTATAGTTGTGATACTCTCACCATTAAAAACGTGTATGATGCCCTCTTCTCAAAAGAGAAGATAAAGCATCTGGTTGGATCTGAGTCTAGAGATGGAGAAGGTCTTGTAATTCATGATAATCGACGAAGGGGTAAGTTGAGGTCGAGTTTCAGCAATCGGGTTTGTTTTTATTGTAAGAAGAAAGGACACATCAAGAGAGACTGCGAAAGTTGCAGAACAAAGATTTCGGTAACATGCAAATTATAGAAAGCAATCAAATACTTCAGACAAGGCCAATATAGTTGAGGAGTATTTGAGTAATAGAGATCTCTTAGTGATTTCTAACATGTAATCTAAACCTGACGAGGAGTAAATTTTGGATACAGCTTGTGTGTTCCATATGTGTACCAATCAGAATTTGTTTAAGACATATGAAACGATGACACATGGTGTCGTTGTCATGGGTAACAACATATCTTGTCGGGTAGCTGGTATTGAGAGAGTCAAATTGAAGCTGATAGATAGAACATGTAGAACACTTGATAACGTTCAACATATTCCAGTTTTGAAGAATAATCTCATTTAGTTGAGTACTCTTGATTCAAAGATGTACACATTTTTTGGAGTAGATAGAGTCTTGAAGGTTCAGAAGGATCTCTGTGTTGAATTGGAGGAGAAAAAAAGGTCCCAATTATACATCTTTCAAGGTCGAGCAAAAATTGATGAAGAAAAGTCAGCATAGGTTTAGTACCATTGTTGATATTCAGTTTGGTACAGTACATTTGGGATTTGGCTCTGGGTTCATATTGAATAATACTACTCAGTCGAGTTTGGAGGATATAGCTAATTCCGTTTTTCCACCATTGTCCGCAGTTCCATTGTATTCAACTGCTAGGGACAAACCCATTAGAGATAGGTATGGGGACACTGATTTGGTTGTGCATGGTTTTAAGATTTTTGAAGATATCGAGGCTAGCAAGGGGCTTTCGGTGAAAGCATTGAGAGTTGATTCTGCTACAAGGTGTGCTTCAACCCTTTTTGGTTATTTCTAAATTTTGTGTGAATATTGGGAAAGCCGTTATTTAGGTTCATGCATATGTGTTGGATATTGTGAAAGAGGAAAAATGTATTTTGTATTACTGGAGAAGTTTGGTTTAGGTTGAAGAGTTTAGTAGTTTTGTTGCAATCGTACTTATTTTTCAGGAAAAGAAAATTTGGAGCTTCATTCGTTGTATCAAAATTTGGTTCAAGGTAGAAATTTATTGGGCTTGTGACCCAAATTCGATTTAGGATTACGTGATTTGATGTAGTGGTCTTCGAGAGATCAAAATTATAGACCAAGAAGAAAAATTACCCATTTTCGCTAGCTTGTCACTAGCTGGCTACTCGAGCAATAGGCGAACTTTTGAAGCAGAAAGTTATTGCCCGCCTATCCCCGAGCTCTAGCTTGACGCTCCCTGCCGCTACACAGCCCTCGAGCAATGGCATCACGCGAGTTTTTCTCCTTTTATCGGTTTTATGCATATTTTACCTAGTTTCCATCTTTTAGGTTAATTCTAGGGTTTTGTCAATTCCCCTACAAATAGTAGACTCTTCACTCAGTTTAGATATTGTTGAGATTGCTATAATAGTATTATTTTTCTCCGTTGGTTGTTGAATAAAATATTGTTCCTCTGCCAATCTATTTCTTGCTTTTAATCTTGTTTTCTTTATACGATCATATACTTCATGGTGTATCATATTTACCTCCCCGTTTCATAATAGTAAAAAGTTGTTTTGCTTGATTTGGACTAATTTAGAAAATGAAATTGTTTGGTCTGATTTAAAAGTATGTGTAATCCTTTCTTAATAACAAATATCGAGTATACGGAATTGAGTCAAATTTCATTAGATGCATCCTTTTTTTCAAGGTGATTGTGCAATCTTAGCCAATTTCAACAAGTACACATGGACAGACGCATGTGTGGGCATGGGATCACATGGCTTTCCAAATTTGGGGCCATTTTTCCCCCTATGTTTTTCTCTCAATTTTCGAAATCATTATATTATCAAATGAAGTCAAAATATTGCGTCCTTAATATCTTTTCAAAGTAGTCATAGCCTAGTTTCTACGTTGTTAATGACGCACGAAACGGCCAACCGTACTAAATATTACAGCTTGTCAAAGTAGTCCATTCCAAACTAATATTTCGAGAGTTTCGATAACATGCTATCTTTAAAAATTCTCTAACCATCGTACACTAGCTAAATCCACAAATCGAATGGTCCAAATAGATATCAAAAATAATTAAAGATGCATCAAATGTGTCTTAAAAAGAGGCATATAATTCATTTTTAAAAAAAAAGTCAATTATTATTATTGCGATACAAATTTTCAATATAATTTATATCACTTTATTAGGAAATTCTACATAGGATATGACATCAAAAACTTTCGAAATTTTACATCTAAAAAAGTCATGCCCATGTGAATTGTTGGATGTAAAATTTATATGGTTGAAAAAAAAAATTTTGGATATAAATTTTTGAATGAAAAATTATCACAACTTTTTTGCAAGTTTGATCGTCCCCCTAACTCAAAATATCTGCGTCCGCCCCTGCAAGTACATGAGACTGGATCAAGGGCGAGGCACAAGAGGCGGTTCCTCAAGCCAAGAATCATTGTGGGCCAAAAAATTTCATTTTTTGTTTTTTGAAATATAAACAAGATAAAAATAAAAATGATAATTTGTCGACAAGTAGTCAATGGTGTAGTGGTAAACATTTCGTACTGGCCCATGGGCATATTGGTTCGAATTCTAAACATCCTTTCTCTCTCTTGAGATGCACAAGATAAAATTTGTAAAAAACACTAAACACTTATTTATTTTCGGGTAAAACTATTTTTATGAAAAAAAAATGTGATTGAAAATGAATTTAGAAAAAAATGAGTTTTGAAAAAAATGAAGCCCAGACACAAGAGCACAGTCTTTCGCACCAAATTATTTTCGGGTTTTCAATTTCAAAATTTGAAAGAAAAATCCATTTTTTTTTATACACAAATCTCATTAAAATTTAGTTGAGTGCACGACTATTTCACGAAGAAAATTGTACAAAATACTTGAAGAAGACGACTGCCCGTCATGACAATATGTTTCTAAATGTAGGAAATTTTGTTTGCATTATTTTTGTATTTGTGTTTATGAGCAGCTATAATTTTCATTTATTTTCATACTTCACTAAAAACCCTTATAAAGGGAAAAAAAATTAAATTAAATTAAATGCTCGACTAAGATTTCAGAGTTAACTTTTTTAGTTCGACTCAGGTTTAAGAAAGTTGAGGCCAGACCTAATAGCCATACACATAAGAATGCATGTTTTATCTCATTTTGATTGTTACTGGATGATTATATACACTATTTTTATTCACATTTTGGGCTATTTTAAATTTTTTCCAACCTAAAGAAAAATAAAACACCAAATTCCTCATCACAACATCAAATATCTTCTGTGGCACTAGTCAAACTTAACTACAGATTGAGCGTTACAAAGTTGATTCCAAATTGAGAATTAGGAACAAGTTGAAAATGACTTACTAAGTTGGGATTGACACTAGACGAGTTTATTCACTTGGAATATAGTAGTTAAGTGCTCAAAAAAATTGTTCACTTTAAAAATATTAAATTTCCATTTCTAAAATGTGCACTATAACTTACTGTTTATGTTTGTGATAAAATTATAAGAACAGTCCAATCGCAACCTTACAACACAATAAGACTTGCATGGAAGAAATAAAGCATGAGATAAGGAAACATGCTTATTAATCAACCAAATGAGGCTCAGATTAATATGTTTGAATAAATTTGATTACAAAATCAAACATATGCAATCTAGTGGTTTATTTTTAATTCAGCCATGAAAATAATCACTAGATATGAAATGGAAATGCAAGGGACTGAAACTTATTTAATTACACCATGAATTCTTCCACGGCTGCATGTGCTATCCCACCACCGTATCCTGCACCAAATCCAAATCCACTACCGGATCCTCCACCCAATCCGCCTCCACCACCGCCTCCGCCACCAAAACCTCCTCCTCCTCCTTGAGCACCACTTCCAAATCCACCACCAAATCCTTCTCCAAAACCAGAACCACCCCCTGTTCCTCCACCTCCACCGCCACCGCCTCCGCCTCCACCACCTCCTAAATTCCAGTTATCAAAGAAGAATTTTTCATCATTGACAGGACCATCTGAGCCCACTAGCTTTCTTGCGTTGATGGTGCAACTGAGAACACCGAGAAGAACCAAGAGAACAATTTTGGAAGTCATCTCAATTTGCAAGTAAAAGATAGCTCTTGATTGATGAGAATTTAGGACAAGAAGAAGGGATTATATATTGCTTGAATATCAGTTTTTTGCATTAAAATTTAATGCTTGAATTAATTTGTTAGTTAGTGGGGGTCTCATTAACTTGACGGTTATTATATAAGTAAATACTAGTGATTTAATTTATTATTTTGGCTATTGATTAGTGTATTAGTAGATTAATTAGTGCAATGATGATTGTTTATATTCCTTAGTGGTTTATACAAATGTTTTCATATCTACTTGTGAAGCTCGTTGTAATTCATATATTATAGTGCAACAATTCAGAATACACAGTCACGTAAATTTCCATTCCAATTTTCATGTATCCTCATTTTTTTCCAAATTATATATAAAGAGAGATGATGGTAAGTGTTAATTGGAAACTTTTATATAATTCCAACACAAGTATTAGAGAAATTTTAAAAGATAATGCAAGAAATGAGATTTTTCTTGATGGTATCCTTAGGCACGAGAATCAGCAAGTAAATATTTGTAACCGCATGGACTGCGGCAGAAAATCTATCCCATTTTCAAATATTTGCCTGGTATTTGTAGCTATTGCATATGAAGAAAATTCAACCACAATCAAAATTGTGAAGATGTGGCACAATGATGTGGAGTCGATTTGCTGACTGGATGGATGAATTGTTGACTGTTGACCAGTTTGATTTAATTGTGAAGAAAAACATGTTGATTAATTGATGCCTTATAATTTTTTGAACTAAACTAAGGGTGTGTTTGATTACATTTATTTTCCATGGAAAATATCAGTTTTCCATCCAAATTTTCACTTGGAGTGTTTGATTGCTATTTTTTTTCCATGGAAAACATTTTCCAACTTTCTAAAATGCGACTTTACTAGTGGGCTGAGTAAATAAGATGATGCCAAGTGTTGCCTCCTCGGCCATTTGATTGATGACCCTCTGGTGACTTCTATTTACTTGGTCATTGGTGTCTAGGGTTATGATTCATTAATTCATTACATTTGTTTTGGGGCTGTTCGTCTTCCTTTTCTCTCTGACTTCTGAGTGTCATTTTTCACCCGCTTCTCTTGAGTGTAAATTGATGATACTTTATCTTCTAGATGATATCATGTACTACATGTCTTGAGTGATCATCAGTAAATGGTAGTTGATTTCATGTATAGTTCTTAAGGGAACTGCGGTTTGTGTTCGAGAGGGTTTTCAGTAAATCTTGAGTGATTTCTGAGTTTTGAGATTGAATTGTAATATTGGACGGTCTTTGGTTCAGGTTAATGTGATAATCTCTTCCGGTGGTGGAAGTACAAAAGGGATTAGGAGCTTATTCTGAACCTTTTGTTTTAGGACGAAGATCTCGTGTTCTTTGTCTTTCATTTTTGTTATATTTCTGTCATTTACGGTTCATGAATATTGCCTAATATCTTGAACTTAATCAAAACAAAAATAAACAATAGAAATTGTACATTAAATGTACATACCCAGCCCACAACAAGAAAATCTTGAAAGGCTCAACTGATCTAATTCATGCAAACACCGGCGCACAAACTGAACAATAATCTATGCAAAAAGAAAAACAGCAAAAACGCACAACTTCACTCATGAAAAATCAGTATCGCATTCCCATACTCGGGTACTGGCACATAGTTCTTGGATCAAACGTGTTCCCTACATGGAACTCGGGCAATTTGGTGGGTAATGAGGGGGAAAAAAAATTCACGAGGTGAACACCCATTTTAGCCCATGTTTGATGGCCATTATTGAGAAAAAAAAAATTTATGTTTTAAACAGTGATTTTTTTAAGAATGTGTGATTAAAAAGTTTTGAATTTGTGTACAAAATATTTTATTGTGTGAATATGTGGTTGAAAATGAGTGTGAGAACTAAATAGTTTTATTTAAATGGAGACAATCAGGTACTTAGATTTTACATTTTGATTTTCTTCATCTTCTTCGACATAGGCGAAGCTATGAAGCTTGTCAATGATATGCTAGATGGAGGATATTTTGAGAATTCAAGAATCCCTGTGAAGTTAGAGACAAGGATGGGTTCTTCGTGGACTGTGACATTTAGGGTTCGGAGCAATGAAAAGAAGAAGGATTGAAGATGCAATGTTATTGAAATTCTCTTAGAGAAGCATTTTTTATAAGAGCCTAGCTATCGTGCTAGGCCCAATTAACCTCTTAAGAACTTTTGGTTATTAAACCGTCCAAACTAGTCACGGGTCAATCGATTTTGGCAGTTGAATCAATCTAATATACGGCTGGGATTCTCTCAGTTTGCAATTACTTTGGTTTCAAGCACTATTCAGACCAATTTGAGAGTCAATTTCCAGTTTTCCTTGTCGAAACAGCAAGTCAAATCTTGTTTAACATAGGTTTTCATTTTCCTACGTTAGTTTTCAACTTTGCTTGATCCAAACTCACCAAGACAACTATTTTGTGATGTATCTCATAAGCAACATCAAAAGCAATATTTTAGGATAGCCTCCTCACAACATGTTCAAGCCTCCAATTCTTATTCTAGTAACTGGTGTAATGTTTTCTTCTCCACTACCTCCAAATTATATTTTTAATCCTTCTTGATCGTATAGTAAAATTCTGAAAAAAAATAAATAAATAAAAAATAAAAAAAATTATAGTATTTTAATTCTAGTTAAGGGGTAAAAAGATAAAATCATCAACCTGCCCAGGCCAACCGAAACTGTTGGTTTTCGACCTAGCAACATTTTGGTTTTAAGCCCAACTATTTTAAACAATTATAAATAGTTCGATTTTGACTCTAATAGTCAACAAAACACTTGAAATAAAACTGAATTAATCACTCAATTAAAAATAATAATAATAATTTACTTTTTGTACATAAGGTTTCTGATTTATTAGTCCAATACTTCAGCAACTTAATTTATAGTTGGCATCTATTGGCTTATTGCGGATGTATAATAATTTGCAATAATATTTCCTTTTCTATTTCACTGAGAACGAATTTGAAAGTTTCAATTTAATGTAGAAACTTTTATTATTTCATTGCTTTTTAATATTATAATGATAACAATATATTATAACCGTAACCTTTATGTTAATAATGTTTCAATTTATCTATTGTGATATATGTTAGGCTAATATTTTTTTCGTTTTCACTTGTTAAAGAATCACTTGTATTGTAGCTAAAAACTGTAGTGCGAAACCAAACAAAACAGTAAAAAATTGTTTTGTTTGATTTGGACTGATTTAGAAAAATGAAATGGCTTGGTCTAATTTGAAAGTAGGCGTAAAGCTTTTTTCATGATATATATCAAGTACATGGAATTGAATCAAATCTCTTGAGATGCATCCTTTTTTTATGGAGATTGTCTAATCTTAGCCAATTTCAACAAGGATATCGGGTTGGACCTTGGGGCCGAGTCATTGACAGCTGAAAATTTTCTTTTTTGCTTTTCGAAATATAAACAAGATAAAATAAAAATGATAATTTGATGATAAACAATTACTAATGGTGCAGTGGTAAAGGTTTCAAATTCTAAACATCCTTCCTCTTGAGATACGCGAGATAAAATTTGTACAAAATACTAAACACCTAATACAATCTTTCACACCAAATTTTTTCATTTTTTAAATTTCAAGATTTGAAAGAAAATCTTACCTTTTTACGCACAAGTCTTGTCAAAATTTGGTTGAAGGCGCAACTAATAAATGAAGAAAGTTGTGTAAAATATTTGAAGAAGACGAATGCACGTCATGACAATATGCTTCTAAAATGTGGGGAAATTTGTTTGCCTTTTTTTTTGTATTTATATGCATGGACAACTATGATTTTCATTTGCTTTCATACTTCGTTAAAAACCCTTTGGAAGGGAGGGGAAATATATATATATATATATATATATAATAATAATAATAATAATAATAATAATAATAATAATAATAATAATAATAATAATAATAAAATTAAACGCATAAATATGATTTGAGAGCCTAACTTTTTTAGTTCGACTCATTTTTAAGAAGTTCGAGGCCAGGCTTAATGGCCATACACATAAGAATGCATGTTTTATTTCATTTTGATTGTTGCTTGATGATTATATATGCTCAGACATATTTTTGGTTCCATTTGGTGCTATTTTAAATTTTTTTCCTACCCAAAGGAAAATAAAATACCAAAATTTTCATCACAACACCAAATATCTTTTGTGACACTAGTCAAACTCAATTAAAGATTGAGCTTGTCAAAGTTGATTCTGAATTGAGAACTAGAATCAAGTTGGATATGACTTATTAGGTTGGGAGTAGTACTGGACGAGTTTATTCACTTAGAATATGGTATTAAAATGCTTGAATAAACTGTTCACTTTAAAAATATTCAATTTCAAATTTCTAAAATGTGCATCTATAACTTACTTTTTATATTTGTGACAAAATTATAAGAACAAATCAATCTTAACTTTACAACCCAATAAGATTTGCATGAAAGAAATAAAGCATGAGATAAAGAAAGAGGCTTATTAATCAACCGGAGGAAGCTTACATTAATATGTTTGAATAAATTTGATTACAAAATCAATGCAATCTATTAGTTTATTTTTAATTGAGCCACAAACATAGGCATGAAACAGAAATGCAAGGAACTAAAAATTCTTTAGCTACTCAAGGGATTCCTCAACCTCCTATTCCACTTCCATATCCTGCACCAAATCCAAATCCACTACCAGATCCTCCACCTAATCCACCTCCACCACCACCTCCACCACCAAAACCTCCTCCTCCTCCTTGAGCACCGCCTCCAAACCCACCACCAAATCCTTCTCCAAAACCAGAACCACCCCCTATTCCTCCACCTCCACCACCACCTCCGCCGCCACCGCCACCTCCTAAATTCCAGTGATCAAATAAGAATTTTTCATCATTGAAAGAACCATCAGTGCCAACTAGCTTTCTCGCAGTGGTGGTGCAAATAAGAACACCAAGAAGAACCAAGAGAACAAATTTGGAAGTCATCTCAATTTGCAAGTAAAAGATAGACTTGATTGATGTGAATTTAGGACACGAAAAAAGGATTATATAATGCTCGAATATCAGTTATTTGCAATGAAGTTTAATGCTTGAATTAATATGTGAGTTAGTGAAGATCTAATTAACTTGACGGTTTTACATTAGTACATTAGTAGATTCATTGATGCACTAGTGAACGTTTGTATTCCTTTGTGGGTTATAATTATGTGTTCTTTTATCTATCTAGGGGGTGGCTACTGAGAAGCTCATTGTATTCATTATTATTATTTTTTTCCCTCAAATTATAACAGAGAGATGATGGTAAGTATTGTTTGGCAACTTTAAGTAATCCCGACTCAAGTATTGGAGAGATCTAAAAGTAAATGAGAAAAATGAGATTTTACTTAATGGGTATTCTCAGCACGAGAATCGGCACGTAAAAATATCTCACGCATGGACGGGAACAAGAAATTTACCCCTTGCTATTTGCTCGAGCGAGCAGTTGAGCAGAAAAGTTTTTCCTTGTTTCGCATGCGGAAAATTCTTTTTGAATTTTTGATTAAATCATTGTGTCCTTTCACGGAGAATTATATACTTTTGTACATGGATAGACAAATAACTATACATTTTTTTTTTTTTTTTTTTTCAATTTTCTCCTTTGGAAGATAATAACTATATTGGGATCGTTCCTACTACTCAAAAATTTGACACACTTATTTGATAAATAATCATAATCTTTAATTTAAATCAATCCAACATTTAATATGTATTTCACTGAGATCATGGAAGAATTTATTATAACTGCTTGAAATCCATAAAATATTGAGCATTAAATGGACTTAGATTAAAAGTCATGATTATTTGTCAAATAAGTGTTTCAAATTTATGAGTATGATTAACGATTCCAATTATATATCACCTTCTTCTCTTCAAATCAAAAAATTCATATTAAATTGTTGTCATCTATATTTTTAAACTAGCTCAGGCATTGACCCAGAAAATCAAAAGGTCAAGGATCGAATGGATGAATCGAGTGTAATAAATAAATAAATATCACTAAATTGTGAGGAATAAACGAAGCTTTTTTTTCAAATTTATTAATATATAGACAAAACCCTCATTAAATTTGGCTATATTGAAAGGTCAAGTTCAACTGAAATAATGGTTTTAGTCCACGTCAACAATTTAGTTTTGAATCCAATTGAACTAAAGCATTTATAAATAGTTTGATTTCGGTTTCAATAGTTAAAAACGCTAGAAATAAAATTGAATTGTTCACTAAGTAAAAAAAAGTTACTTTTTGTATCTAAGATATGTGACAAAATTATAAGAATAAAGCATGAGGAAAGGAAAGAGGCTCATAATCAAATGAAACTTACATTAATTTGTTGAATAATTTTAAGTACAAATCAAACATCTGCATTATAGTAGTTTAATTGGCTCTACACATTATTTTTTATTGAGCCATGAAAATGATCACTGGTTTGGATTAATGGGAAGAAGAGTGAAATTTCTTTAATTATTCAAGGAAATCCACTACCACCTATTCCACCCTCAGCTCCTCCACCTAATCCACCTCCACCTCCACCTCCTCTTCTGGCACCTCCAGCTCCACCTTCGAACCCACCACCAAATCCTCCTACAAAATCGGAACCAGCTCCTACTCCTCCACCACCACCTCCACCTCCACCTCCACCAAACCCTCCTCCACCACATCCAACAGCCCACCACCTGCACCAGTTGTTGAAAATTTGTTCAAAATCAATGGAATGATAATAACTAATTGTTGGGCTCAATTGTGGAATTAATAGAATCAAAAGAAATTGAAAAATACAAAATTTGATTTTTTGCCTCTGCGTACGCACAGGCTTAATTTTGTGGGTATGCGAGATGTGTTTTGGCAAAATTAGAATTAAATTTTGCTTCTACTATGTTTACGCATAGTGTTGAAAAATAGTCGTTGGCTGATTTTTCAATTTGAAATTTGGGAGCCGTTTTGGATTAAAAGTTGCACTTTTCATCTTGTTTTGGCACCATTTCATGATGTATTGATTGAGACCTATAAATAGATGATGAATGATCAATACAAACATTATTAGAATCATTGAAAACATCTTGAGATCTATATGTGATTCCATATTGGATCAAACTATTTATTTACATTTATATTCAAGATCTTCCTTTGTGTTCTTAAAGTTTTAGAGTATTGCACTTGTGCTTTGGTGTAAAATTCTTTACAAGGCTTGATATAATCCTACAAACCATTTGCCAAAACCTTTAAACATCTCATTCAATCCCGAGAGGGGGTAAATATAGTTTGAGGACAACAATCTCGTGTTCAAGCCTCAAATTCGTTCTTGACGTATTTCGTGATTTCTATTCATTTTATTTCTATAATTTTGTTGTTGTTTCTTCTCCAACCCCTTATTTTCCAACAATCTCAAACTATATTTTGCAATAGAGAATGATACAACTATGGCAACCATCAAACTCATGAATCAAGTTCTGGTTAGTTTGGATCGTTTTGACGGGACTAACTTCACACGGTGGCAAGACAAGTTGAAATTCCTCCTGACGGCATTGAAGGTTTTTTATATCCTTGATCCAGATTTGGCACCTTTGCCGAAACCAACGAATGGAGAATCCAAAGCAATCATGACCGAGAGACAAAAGCGCCAAGAAAATGAATTGATTTGCCATGGCCACATCTTGAATGCATTGTCAGATCGTTTGTATGATCTATACACCAATACAACTACAGCGAAAGAAATCTGGGAAGCATTGGAAAGTAAGTACAAGGCGGAAGAAGAAGGTACAAAGAAAATTTTGATTTCTAAGTATTTTGTTTTTAAATTCTTAGAAAATATCCCTCTTCTTCCCCAAGTGCATGAGTTGCAAGTGATTGTCAACAAATTAAAGGCGGTGAAAATTGATATACCAGAGACCTTTCAAGCGAGGGCTATAATTGCCAAACTTCCCGGAACTTGGAAAGGATGCCGGAAGAAGATCATGCATAGTTTCGAAGATTATTCTTTGGAACAATTACAAAAGCATCTTCGAATCGAAGAGGAGTCGAGAATACGTGATAAAACTAAAAATTCTCATGAGGGCTCTTCTAAAGCAAATGCTGTGGAAAAAATAGAACCGCTGGCAAAATCCAACAAAAGAAAGCCTTCTAGGAACTTTAACAAGTCCAAGAAGAAGACAAAATGAGGTTATTTTATGTGTGGAAAATCTGGTCACTATGCCAAGGATTATAGGCACCGAAAACAAAATAACTTCGAGGCCAAAGTGAATTTCATCCAAGATGACAAAATTGTGGCCACCATAAGTGAAGTAAACGCAATCAAAGGAAATGTTCCTGGGTGGTGGTATGATACTTGTGCTACGTACATGTATCATATGATAAATCTTTGTTCAAAACTTATCAAGAAGTGAATGGAGAACAAAAGATTCAAATGGGTAATGAGATGCGGCCCAGGGTGTTTGGAAAAGGAAGTGTAGACATTATCTTCACTTTCGGGAAAACCATTAGTCTAACTAATGTACTACATGTTCCGGATATGAATAGAAACCTAGTTAGTGGCAATCTCTTGGAAAAACCGGCATCAAATATATTTATGAGTTCGGCAAACTTGTATTATCCCTTAATGGGAAATTTGTTGGAAAATGCTATTCATGTGAAGGAATTGTCAAATTATGTACCGTTGACTATGAAATGAATAAAAGTAATTTTGCTTATGTTGTGAATTTATTTTCATTATGGCATGCTAGATTAGGTCATGTTGGTAGAAATACAATAAAACGCATGAAAAAATATGACTTGATCTCATATGATGAAAATGATGAACATAAATACAAAATATGTGTAGAATCTAAAATGATTAAAATACCATATTAAAGTGTTAAGAGAACCTCTAGTATTTTAGAATTAATTCATACTGATATATGTGAACTTAATGGTATGTTAACTAGATGTGGAAATAAATATTTCATAACTTTTATAGATGACTTTTCTAGATATACATATGTTTATTTGATAAAACATAAAAGTGAAGCCTTTGACATGTTTAAGACATACAAGAATGAGGTTGAAAATTATCTAGGAAAGAAAATTAAAATTTTAAAGAGTGATAAAGGTGGTGAATACTTTTCCAATGATTTTAATTTTTTTTTGTGAACAACATGAAATTATTCATCAATGTTCTGCACCTATGACACTCGAACAAAATGGCTTGGCTGAAAGAAAAAATGGAACATTTTTAGAAATGATAAATGCCATGCTTATTCATGCTAAGTTGTTATTTAACTTGTGGGGTGAAGCTTTATTAAGTGCATGTAGAATACTTAATAGGATTCCTTCAAAATATATTAAGGTTTCTCCTTATAAATTGTGGAAAGGAAGAAAACCGAACATTGGATACTTCAAAGTGTGGGGGTGTCTTGCTTATTGCAAAAACACGAATCTTAATAGGATCAAATTGGGTCCAAAAGGCATTAAATGTACCTTTGTTGGATATGCAAACAATAGTAAATCTTATGGATTTCTAAATTTGGAGTCCAATGTGATTATCGAATCCAACGATGTCAAGTTCTTTGAGGATTCGTTATCTTCGGATAATGAATTGAGGGAAAATCTTGAAAATATCCCTAACTCAAGTGGAACACATGATGAAATATCTTCTAAGGATGTTGATGAATCTAGTGAACCCTGAAGAAGCAAGAGAACTTGAGTTGAGAAGTCTTTGGGATCGGATGAAATCGCTTCTCAACTTATCTCCTTTTACTTAGTAGAGGGAAATGAATTGAATGTTGTGAAAATAATTCCTTTTGTTCTACAAGTAGAAACTGACCCTAAGACTTATAAAGAAGCTATGGCTTCTCGTGATAGCACCTTTTGGAAAGATGCAATTAAGGACGAAATGGATTCGATAATGCCCAATAATACTTGGGAACTTGTTTGATTTACCACCAGGATCCAAGCCTATTGGATGCAAATGGATATTTAGGAGAAAATACAATGTTGATGGATCCTTAAATACCTAGAGGCTAGATTAGTAGCCAAAGGATATTGGCAAAAGGAAAGAATCGACTATTTTGATACTTATGCACCAGTAGCTAGAATAACATCGATTAGGATATTATTCGCTTTGTGTTGTAAAATTTTGTTTCACAAGTGTACGACCCGTAACAAGTAATAGTGGACCTAAGAGTCCGGTTTGTCGATCCTACAATGACTATTTTCTAGCACTTAATTCAATCTTTCTTTAACTACTATTTGACTAACGCAAATCAAAGGTTGTAAAATCTAGGTTTTAATCTAAATTCTAGAAAATAAATGAATGTTCACATAATTGGTTGGAGAATCAAGTAATGAATGGATGTTTGGGTAGAATAACTTCACCAAATAATCATCTTTATATATCAAATTAAAACTCAATTCTAATGTAGTGTTCTGTCGAATTCTCCTATTGTATTCAATTTACCCCTCTCAATTTCTCATTGAGCCTATTTAACTAATTAAACTTCATATCTCTGTGCAAATTCAACTTAGTTAAACGAGTTCTATGTCTTAGGAATTCAATTATGACCGCAATAAATGGTATAGGTATCTCTACTCGTTATACCAATGTACTGGATTTTACTACATGGTCTAAATCCTAAACTCATATCTCTATTTGTAAAGAATTCACAAAAATCATCAAATTATTGATCAAATAATTTAATGCATTCAACTCATAGCAAAATCAACACATGGAAGAATTAAAAACTGAGAGTCTTAATAAGAGAATGTAAAAGATCCCAATTGGTTATATTATTCCCCCTAACAATGAATTTAGCTACTCATAATACAAGAAGAAAAGTATGAATTTGTTTTAGAATATATCACCGAGTTTGTAATAAAGATATAGAAGAAAAAGTAGAATTCTTGCACCAAGATCTCCTTCCTCTTCCAATGAATGCTTCCAATCTTCAATTCTTGGTGTTAATCTTCTTGAATTTCTCTTTTGAATCTCCTTTCTTGTTATTTTCTCTCCAATATGTCAAGAACCCTTCAAAAGTATGAGGAAGATGTATTTATAGGTGCCCCTCCATTTTATGTAAAAGTAGGGTTTTTGTGGATTTAAAAAGGCCCAAAAAAATGCGCCCTAGATCTTCAATCGCAGCGCCTAGGCGCTATAAGACAGCGCCTAAGGCCTGTTTATAGCGCCTGGGCACTATGTCTTCAGCGCCTAGGCGCTGATGGTAGCGCTTGGGCACTATGGTTGCGGCGTCCAGGAGCTACCTCTCGGGTCCAAATTTCATCTTTTTTCAGTTTCGTAGCGCCTAGGCGCTATGAATACAGCGCCTAAGCGCCGTCTTTCTGTCCCAATTCCATGTTTTTGGCCTCTTCGTCTACTTTAATACTTCTTTTCACATCGCTTTTCCTAATCTTCAAAACAACACTAACAAACACATCAAAAATGTTCTATACTCACAAGATCTAGCAAAAATCAAGCTAAAATTGTGCAAAAATCATGTGTAACAAACTCATCAAATACCCCCAAACTTAACCATTTGTTGGTCCTCGAGCAAACACTAAAACCCATAAAAATAATTAATGGACACACAAGCACAACTAAGACAAACAAAATCACTTAAAATAAATTTCTTTAGATAGCTTGCCTTCATGTCTGAGGATTAAAAACATAATTTCGATTCCATGAACCACTTCAAAGCTATAATGCAAAAGTTAAATTTTCACCTATTCAATGCAAAATGGGTGTGTGTGTGTAGAGTCAAGTGCAATGCTGTACAATAATAAGTTGACCCAATTCCCGACCTTAGAAGCCAGATTTTTCCTTACTTTGCTCGTGGGATTCACACACACCCAAACTTATTTTCTTTTCTCTTTCCAAGGGTGTAACCTAAGGTTAAATTTTCAATACTAATTTCTTACACCAATCAAGTTTGGTTAGATTTTACTGATTATAGTTCCACATGTCAACAAATGAGGATTCTCCTTATTTTTTACTGCTTCAACCTCTAGGAATCAACCAAGTTACTAACCCCTTATCAAAGGTCTAATCCTCTAAAACAAGTGTTTGGGGCTTAATCAAGGCATTTGATATCTTTTTTTTTTCTTTTTTTTAAATTTTTTTTCATATATATCTTTATTCTTTAATCACTCTTTGCGCGGAAGTCTTTCCCTTAAGCTTTCTAAATGACCCCTGTAGCGAGTTTTAGGTCAATGACTCCCAAATCAGATGACTTTAAGGCACCAGGTTTTAAACCCTTACAAACTTAATCACTCGAGTCATAAAGGCTATGACGAGATGATTCACAATAAGATTATTAAAGTTGTCCTCATTGGGATCTTTTTTTTTTATGCGGAGATTAATGCAATGCCCCTTATTAAACACCTATCCTCGAAAATCGACCTCTAACTTAAGATTTTCACCCAATTTTTCATCATATTGGTCTCAAACGATCCACACAAAAATTAACACACACGAAATCCACATTTATCTTCAAATTTCCCTACAACAGTGCAATCATCCAAACGTCATAAGTTTGGTTTAAGGGTATTGTGATGTTTAATGGTTGTTTGGGTTTAGCATCTAAGTTCTCTATTTCAACCTATAAATGTGAATCAACCTCCTCAAGTACAACGCTACAATCAACTCACATGCAAAAAATAATTTTCGTTTCACATGAATAAGCAAAAAATCTAACTCAAACACATAACTCGTCCACAATTCATAAATCAACTCATGTTCTCAATTACACATATCAATACCAGCAAGGTATCTAACACACACAAGCATGCAAAAACACGAAATGAATTTTTTTTTTTTGAATAAAAACACAAACACACAAAACAAGCAAATCACACATAAGCATTTGAGAAACTCAACAATGTAAGCAAATGATGTTACTCCCCCAAACTTAACTGAAACATTGTCCTCAATGTGAAATTTAAAGGAAAAGGAGGAGGACTTCTCTAAAATGTCAGTATTGCCTATGATGTTGTGGTGTCTTGGTGTTGCATTTGATTGACTCTTCTTCTACATTTTCTCCCAAACTTGAGATTTCTCCGATTTTCTCTATGTCCATGTTGGTTTGAGTGTTCCGCAACATCATGTTCCTGAAAAATTAAATTTAAAAAATTAAACTCATGGAACAAGGATTACTTAGCTCAAATATCTAATAACCAACTTAATTACTCCAAG